GAGAAGAGCCAACACTTGGCTGAGAGTGCCGAAGCAATACCACTTTTTATATAAGTTTTTATATTGCTGTCGGTGTCCCCACTGGGGAGATTTTCTCTCATTTCCTGTACAGGTGTCACCAGCAGAGGAAAGGAGGGGAACGGAAAGACACAGCCAAAAATACCATTCTTTAAATTCCCTCTTTTTAGTGGAATTGTATAAAAATGAATGATTATTGAACAAATGAAAATGGAAACATATGAAAGGTAAATACAGAAAAATAATAGCTAAAGGGAGAACGGGAAAAAGATGTTACATTTGACCTCCGGCCTTTCCTTCAGTCTTGCACAGTTGTACAGGATCCTCTTCTGTACTGAAATAGCTTGCTTTAATTTCGCAGTACACTGAATCTATGAAAATGCAGACCAATGTGTGTTCCCTGGTTTCAGCACCGCCCCCATCTCCCAGCCTATTGTACCCTGGCAAAAGCACTGCGATGGGCCTACTGAATCTGAGTGCAACAGATTCCCTTTAGAGGCAGGGTGGACTTTCTGCATTTGGCATAGCTTCCCTGAAAAGTCTCAGCTGTCCGTGGATTGGCCTTTATTTGCGGCTTCATTTATTTCTTATTTATTTTTGTGTATTATTATTTTTTTTTTATTATTAATTATTGCATTTATTATTTTTAATTATGTGATATTGTGTATTTATTATCACTTATTTTTAATTGTTATTATTGTACTTATTAGTATTTTTTTTATGTATTATGTATTTATTATTATTTTTTTTTATCATTTATTATAGTTTTTATTTTTTTTATTATATTTTAGTATTTTTATTATTCATTATTTTATTATTTTATTATTGTCTTTTTTTTTTTTATTATTTTTTTTTTTATTATGTATTATGTATTTGTTATTACTTTTTTTATTATTTATTATAGTATTTATTATTATTTTTTTTTTAGTATGTATTTTCATTATTTTATTATTATTATTGTCTTTATTTATTATTTTTTTTTTTTATGTATTATGTATTTGTTTTTTACTTTTTTTTTTTTTTAGTATTTATTATTATTTTTTTTAGTATGTATTTCATTTTTTTTTTTATTTTTTTTTTTTTTTTTTTTTTTTTTTTTTTTTTTATTTTTTGTATTTTTATTACTTTTTTTATTTTTATTATAGTTTTTTTATTTTTTTTTTTTTTTTATTATTTTTTTTTTTTATTATTATTTTTTTTTTTTTTTTTTTTTTTTTTATTTTTTATTATTTTTATTTTTTTTTTTTTTTTTTTTTTTTTTTTTATTATTTTTTTTTTTTTTTTTTTTTTTTTTTTAGTATTTATTTTTTTTTTTTATTATTTTGTCTTTATTATTATTTTTTTTTAGCCATTTATTATCAAATAGTTTTTGGCTCCTTTTTAAATCATAAAAACAGAAATCACCCAAATGGCCCGGATCAGAAGTCTCCGCCCCCCGGGTCAGAAGTCTCCGCCCCCCGGATCAGAAGTCTCCGCCCCTGGTTTAGACGTCTCCACCCCCCAGATCAGAAGTCTCCGCCCCCCCCCCGGATCAGAAGTTTCCCTCCCCTGGAATGTTTGGCCTTGGTACAGACACACAAGGTGACACAATGCCAATTAGAGGTTAATGTCCCACATCTGTGGCTTTTTAAATTGCAATTACTGTCAGTGTATAAATATTCAATGAATTTGTTAGCTCTTACGTGGAAGCACTGACTAGGCTAGATACTGAGCCATGGGGATCAGAAAAGAACTGTCAAAAGTCCTGCGTAACAAGGTAATGGAACTTTATAAGGATGGAAAAGGACATATAAAGATGTCCAAAACCTTGAATATTCCAATCAGTGCTGATTATAAATTATTTTATAATTTTATTATTCTATTTATTATTAGTTTTTTTTTATGAATTAATATTTTATTTTATCATTGTATTATATTATTATTATTATTATTATTATTATTATTATTATTATTATTAATAATAATAATATTTATTATGTATTATTAATAATAATAATATTTTTTATTATGTATTATTGTTTATTTATTTTTTTTTTTTTGCTTTACTAATGTTTAGAATGAAACAACAGCGCCTTGACGAATCCAGTTCAATGCGCCTTACCAAGATGTCACCCCACCCCCCCCTTCTCGTTCCATAAGTCAGAATTTAATTCCACAACTCCTATCGACCGCCGAGCTGGGAATCGCGTCATTGTCTTTCACGCAACGCTGGGCCGCGCTCAGCTTACATTACTGTCTTTTTGTTCCTTAAAACCGATGTAACAAATCGCGAGCGTGAAAAATAAATAAAATCAGAATCTAAAGGGAACTTTTATTTTTTTTAATGTTTGCCGGGAAGGAGAAGAGACACATATGGCGGGGGGCCGAGAGAAGTTGGATGTGTAGGGATCTGCGATGGGGATTTACTGGAGCAGAATACAGGAACATTCCGTGATATTAAACAGACGCGGTCTGCGGAGACTCTGCAAACTGGCAAACGTAATTATAACGGCGATAACAATGGGAGATTACGGCGCGGCGATTATTAATATATTATCCACAAGTGACATACATGCGTTATCGGAATGTATCGCAGCGCTGGCGAGGATCGGTTTAAAGATGAATACAAAGCAGACATTAAAAACAGAAGACCAATGAATGCAGGGATGGATTCGTTAAAGGAACACTCCATTTATTATTCAGCACAGCTAGTATAAGCACAGATATATTAGCTTCCTGCAGTCCTCTGCACAGCAGGGCTCACACTCTAACTGCGATCATTTTTTAAAGCCGAATTCAAAACAGACATTAAAAAAGAAAGCGGTCGACTTTTTTTTGTTCACAATGCAGCAGGGCAGCCGCTCGGGAGCTGGAAGCAGGGCCTCCAATAAAGAGGTAGCTCTGATTGATCCTCCCCGCATAAGTTCAATAAGGGTGATTGGGCAGCCACAGGGAGATCAGTTTCAGGGATCACCCCTCCCAGTGGTGTCCCTAGGCAGGTGGGGGGGGGGGGGGGGGGTGCCGCTCCGGGTGACACCTCCCTCATGGGGTGACACCAGACACGCGCCACGAACGGGTAAGTTGTAAAGTAAGCCGACGATCCCTGCAGGATGGATCGGACCTTACATCCATGTGTGCCCAGCTGAGCCCCCCTTACATCCATGTGCCCAGATGAGCCCCCTTACATCCATGTGTGCCCAGATGAGCCCCCTTACACCCATGTGTGCCCAGATGAGCCCCCTTACATCCATGTGTGCCCAGATGAGCCCCCTTACACCCATGTGTACTCAACAGAGCCCCCCTTACATCCATATGTGCACAGATGAGCCCCCCTTACATCCATATGTGCACAGATGAGCCCCCCCTACGTCCATGTGTGCCCAGATGAGCTCCCCTTACATCCGTGTGTGCCCAGATGAGCCCCCCTTACATCCGTGTGTGCCCAGATGAGCCCCCCTTACATCCGTGTGTGCCCAGATGAGCCCCCCTTACATCCGTGTGTGTGCCCAGATGAGCTCCCCTTACATCCGTGTGTGCCCAGATGAGCCCCCTTACATCCATGTGTGCCCAGATGAGCCCCCTTACACCCATGTGTACATGTGTACTCAACAGAGCCCCCCTTACATCCATATGTGCACAGATGAGCCCCCCTTACATCCATGTGTGCCCAGATGAGCCCCCCCTACGTCCATGTGTGCCCAGATGAGCTCCCCTTACATCCGTGTGTGCCCAGATGAGCCCCCCTTACATCCGTGTGTGCCCAGATGAGCCCCCCTTACATCCGTGTGTGCCCAGATGAGCCCCCCTTACATCCGTGTGTGCCCAGATGAGCCCCCCCCCCCTTACATCGTGTGTGCCCAGATGAGCCCCCCTTACATCCATGTGTGCCCTGCAGAGTTCCCCCTTACATCCATGTGTGCCCTGCAGAGTTCCCCCTTACATCCAGATGTGTCCAGTGAAGCAAGTCTGGGCAGAGGACGTCGGGTCCGCCTGTAAATTCTGGGGGTAGGCCGGCAGTCCAAGCACCCAACCACGGTGGAGGCAAGGAATCTGTTCTGGGGACTTTGGCTGGCTGGCAGTGGATGTGCCGGGCTCCGTATTACCATACACAGTTCAACACTTCCACTGCTAGCCAGCCACATATTTTTTTGGTCAGTCGCTCGCTGTGGACCAGATAAAACCTTGTAGCGGGGCGGATGTGGCTCATGGGTCATAGTTTGCAGACCCCTTCTTTAAAATGATTGTAAATTTCTGAACTGAAAAATGAACAGAGCAACTCCCACTATAGTGTGTACTTGCCTCAATCCAAAGCACCCACTGTGATTTCTGCCTCCTCTCTCTTCCATCTGCTGTCTGCATTAATCACTTCTGACAAGTTATCCCCACACCACAGAATCATGGGAGAGGCCCCCTCCAGCACACAGAAGGTAATTGACAGCCTCAACTGAGAATGTGTAGGCGGGGGGGGTGTGCCCTTTCCCTCCACTCAGGTCTCAGATTACACTCAGCTCCCTGCTCTATGCTTTGCACTGTTGTGACATCAGATCCTCGCCTCCTACCTGCTGGAGCTGAGAAATAGCCTTTACTCTGTGTGGTTTAGAAGGCTGTAAAGGAAAGAGGGCTGCAGATAAACAAGCACAACTTATAGAGGAGGATTTGTTTTAATCTCTGTGTATCACCTGAGTCCAGGGGCGGACTGACCATTTGGACACTCGGGCACTGCCCGAGGGTCCGGGGTTGATAGGGGGCCCCATGAGATGCCCCTGGTACCTTTCATAGGCTTTTTTTGGGTGTGGTTTGAGTGTGGGCTAGGACACAGGGGCCCCATGATTGCCTATTGCCCAGGGGCCCCATGAGTTGTCAGTCCGCCCCTGCTTGAGTCCAGTCGCTTCACTGGGTATATGTAAGGATATACAACCACTTGAGTTAAAATAACATATATACATTATATACTGACCAAGGGAGACGAGCAGAACAAACAAAAGAAAAGAAGAAAAATTCTGTTACTTACTAAGTAGCCGGACGCTGCTATTATACGTTCCGAGCTTGTTGGACACCAGGCAGGTGTAATTCCCATAATGCCTTGAGGTGACATTTGAAAAGAGAAGCACGGACCAAGTCCTCTCGTTCTGGATCTTCAACCCTTCCATCCCCACGGTCAGTCTGTTCGCCATGGTGGTCGGGGGGAAAAAAAACAGCAGAGAAGAAGAAAATGTCATTTCGGTAGCAGACGGCGCGGCAATCGTTGTTATTTATTGCGAGGATAAAATGTTGTTCTCTGTCTGTCATGGGAGACAAATAAAGTTCTGCAAAAACTTATTAAAGTTTCCCGCCGAGCTGTGCCGGTAACGGTAGGATCGGACAATGATGGCTCCCGGTATCTGTCATGTTAAAGGCCAAGGCAACGCCCACCAGAGATTTCAGATTTGGGGAGATGGCTGATGGGTTGTTTCTTTTTTATTCAAATCTACATTTTTGGAAAATTTTTTTAAAAATACATTTCAAATATACTGTATGTTTTTTAAAAATACATTTAATCTACATTTTTGGAATGCATTTACAAATATATGTAAAAATATGTGTTCCCATGCCCGTCTCCAGGACTTCTCCAGGGCTTCACCCATCCTCTGGAACTCACTACCCCAATTCATCAGACTGTCACCTACTCTCCTCACCTTTAGGCGCACCTTGAAAACCCACCTCTTCAGGGAAGCCTACCCTGCCCTCACCTAACAGCCGATCTCCTCCACTCTTCCTACCACTCCATCCTCCACAGCTATCTCCTCCTGTGCCACCATCCCCTCCCTCCTAGATTGTAAGCTCCCAGGATCAGGGCCCTCGAACCCCTCGTGTATTGTATTGTATTGTTGCTGTATTGTCCCCCATTATAATGTACAGCGCTGAGCAAACTGTTGGCGCCATATAAATACTGTATAATAATAATAATATATAAATACTGTATATTAATTAATAATAATAATGTGTTAAAATGACTTTTTTTATATGTTAAAAAAAATCTGAAGAATACATCTAAAAAAAAACATTTAAAAAAGTAATTTTAACACATATTTGTACATATATTTGTAAATGCATTCCAAAAATGTAGAGTTGTATTTTTAAAGACGTACAGTATATCTGAAATGTATTTTTAAAAATATTTTTCATATATTTTGTAATAAAAATGCATTTCAACATACAGTGTATATATATATATATATATATACAGCTTACAAAGCCATCCACAACACTGCCCCTAGCTACATCACCAACTTCATCCACAGATACCGCCCAAATCGCCCGCTCCTCTCCTTCCATGATATCCTCCTCTCTAGCTCCCTCATCACCTCCTCCCATGCTCGCCTCCAGGACTTTTCCAGAGCCTCTCCTATCCTCTGGAACTCCCTACCACAGTATGTCCGGTCAGCCCCCACCCTGTCTGCCTTTTGGCGATCTTTGAAAACTCACTTCTTCAGGGAAGCCTACCCCACCTCCACCCAAGAACTGTACTTGAATCACCTCCGCCAGATCATCCCCCCCCAGCTATCACCTTTTGTATCACCTCCCCCTTCCTTTTGATTGTAAGCTCCACGAGCCGGGCCCTCCTATTCCTTCTGTACTGACATGTATTGTAATTGTACTGTCTCCCCTATATCGTAAAGCGCTGCGCAAACTGTTGGCGCTATATAAATCCTGTATAATAATAATTATAATAATATATATATATTATTATTGAAATATATTGAATACGGCCAAAATTGTAGCATTTCAAATATATGGCAAAATATTTGGGAAGAACAATTTTAAAATATATTTCTAATATATTTTTCTTCTATGTCGGTAGCCCTGCAGCTAAAGGGGGTGGCAGTTAAAGGGTGGTAAAAGCGTGGCTCAACCTCCCGTGTGAACGAGTCCTAAGAGAACCCTTACAGAATATGAAGCATACCATTGCTGAAAATGCTTCTTGCCTGGCTAACCCAGGACAAGCATTCAGAAAGTCCCGACTTTTGTTCTAGTTCTGGCTCAGTGTCTCACTGAAGTCAGGCAGCCAGGCAAATCGTATTTTTATCAGCATGTCAGCCCCTTGTGTTTACATCACATACAGTACATCAACCTTCCCAGCGGAGTTATTTAACCAGCCAAATTTGGTAAAATCTGCAAAACGTGAATTCTGATTGGCTGCTACAAGTAACTGAAGCTCACACATCGCTCATTCCCTTCCTAGATAAGATCAGCGGACTTTTCCTGCACGTGCAGAGCTGAGTACTCACCTCTTGTCATCCTTCAACCACTCAAACTCGGCGGGGGGCTCCGCCATAGCCTGACAGCGCAGTATCGCTGATTTGCCGACCTGTGATTGGGCGTTCTTCACGTCAGTGATGAATGGAGGATCTGAGAAATGTTAAAGTTTAAAGAAGTGAGTTACAAAAATGCATTTTATCCCTCCCGCTCACAAAATGAAAGCAGAACTATGGGCCTCCCACTAAACGAGAAAGTTAATTCCATCTGCAAGTTTTCTGCTTAGTCCCCATGCAATGTCTCACAGATTCTGTTGATCCTGCCAGAAAATTCCACCCATTGCAGCTTCCTTTGGTGGTGTGGCAATAATGCTGCACTGCTCCTGAGTTCGGAGCAGAGTTGTTGCTCCCATGTAGGCTGTGCCTTCTTACACAGTGGGAGGAGATAATGTTGCAGGGGGTGTGGCTATCAGCATTGTCACTGCTGATTCACAAGCTAGCAGCTTGTCAATCAATATCTGGTCATACCTAGTCCCACCCACTGCTTTTTGAATGGAAACGCTAACTGTCGCAGTTGCTTGTGCTCCCAACCAAACTGTCAAACCATCAAATGGCTGGTGTCATAACTGACCACATGGGCAGCACCAGAGCAGTTGCAGATCAAACAGAAGCAAAGATGGAAGCTTCCTTGGTTGAAAAGGATAGGAGGTTTAGTTCCTCTTAATTCCATAAATATCTATAGGTGTCTTTATAAAGGTGTCACTTTGGACCAGAACTCACAGTTGACTGTTATGAGCACCTTCTTGCTGTCAGGGATGGCGACTCCATTCGATGTGATGCACTCGTACTCCCCTGCTTGTTGCCGGTTGATCTCGGTGATCTCCAGCAGCTCGCCTTCGCTGGAAAATCCGT